CCCCAAAACCCCAAAACCCCAAAACCCCAGGGGAAGTCCAAGTAAGAATTAAATAAATTAGAAATGGATTCTTACGGTAGGCTTTGATGACTAGGTCTAGATACAAAGAGGTTAAACAAAATGGCAAAGGTATTGACGGCCTTCAGTCAGAATGAAGCCAGCAGGTATTGCTTTGTGAAGAATGAGGATAAGAAAGATCCTTTTGCCTATGATTTGGTGTTGAAGTTCAAGGTTATCAATAATGACGAAGAGGGTAAGCTCAACAATTCTCTGAAGCTATTCATTGGAAACTCTTCGAGTCAAAAACTATTTAAAAATCTACACCTTTTACTTTCAATATTACTTTCAATAATTTGCTGTGAGAGCACTTGATTGCTTAAATTGTCATTTCGTTGGATATTTCTCAGTTTTTCCCAATCATAAATCAATTTTTATTTTTTGGGTGTTAAATAACACACAATATAAACTTGAAATACCTTTTTAGACTTTGAGTACAAGCTAGTCAAAAGTAAAAAGAGCCCTACAGATTGGAAGGAGTTCAAATCTTCACTCACAAATGTAAGCTATAACGAGCATCAATTTTCCATATCTTCTACTGGCTTTAAAATACTCAAACATACTAGGAAATTGAGCAAATAACAAGCTTCAAATAAATACTTCAAAAAGGCTAAAAGGTATGCTTTAATTAATCCAACACTAAGCTGATTTATTTAGTTATGAGCTCCAAGAAGAGGAGAACTTTGATGAAATCCTCACCAGAATCAGCTCTCCAATCCAAGAAACTTTCGAAGAGACTTTGGCAGACAAGCCCTGTCTTGTCTACTTAGAAATAGACAATGAATCTTACAAATTCATTGTGTATTCTTCAAATAAGTAATTTATTTGTTCATCCATAGAGACGAAACTAACCAAATGATAGATACACTCTCCCAATTAGAGAATGAGATCATCAACAAGAGTGAAACTGAGTCAGATGAAGAGCATTACCTCCAAAGAAATGACCTTGACAGTAAGTCCTTCTTTGTCTTTTGCCCAGTTGTTTCTCAGGTCATAGTTTGAATTTAGCCGACATCTTCAAACTCATCCCGATTAAGATGAAGCATCCCCTCAACTCAATCCAAGGATATGGGCTTTTAAGAGCGTATTTGATGTCCCTCGACCAAGAAGAGAGGACTAAACACTTTGTCAAAGTTTGTGGGAAGAACTTATGTAAGCTTAGAATAATTTAACATCATTGGATCAGCTAGTTCTTTGAGGATTCTTTAAACTCCATACTAGTATTTGAATCGAAAAATAACTTTGACTATAGCTATGATTTACAAGATAAGAAGAGACACACTTGATGAAGGTATGCAACTATTTATGAATATAAAGATAAATTTTTATCTACAAGGCAGTTAGTATCTAATAACACTTTATGTGGTTTCTCCTAGAGTTTCATAAAAAGCGATAATTTGCTATTATCTAAATGAATTTGGAAAATCTTGTCATTCAAATAAAAACAAACTAATTAGACGACCCTAACTTTGTTGATGCGTTCCATCAATAATTTTGTCAATAAGAAGGTTCATGAACTTCATTTTTATCGAGATAGTTGTTCAAAACAATGGCATTCTCTCTGACTTTACTACAGACCATAAAAGCAGCAAGGAGCTTATCGCAGAATTAAAAGGGATCAGAAGCAAAATATGTACTGGATAATTTCTCATACTATAGTGGAAGCACTCAAAGTCGCCCAGCAAGAGTAGGTCTCCTTTCGACTTTAGATTTGTCTTTGAGAGAAATGAATACAAGTTCAAAAGAATCACTGAAAAATACAAGAAATTGCACTCGAACAAAGGCAACTCTCTCAGCTATGTTTGGACTCGAGAGCCTGTCAAGAGCATTCTCATTTTTAACCATGACAGATGCAGAGCCTCTATATTCTCACTATCCCAGTACTCTTCTTAACTAATGCTTTAGAGATCAAGTCAGTGTCATCATGAAAGAGCTTGAAGAGTGCAGGCAGGCTATCGACAATCAAGAATTTGAACTCGACGAGCTTGAAAATGCTGACATCCCAAAGTGATACCAACAACCCATTAATGACATTTTCGCAGAGCTTTTAGAGCAAAACCAATGCAAAATTGAGTATCATGAAGGTAGTCTAGAGTCTCATATGTAGATTGTGATCAAAAGTGCAACATTAAGAAAGTCCTGGTCAATACAAGTCTAGAAGATTCTGAAATATTGAGGTCGAAGCTTCGTCAAATTCTCTGTGACATAAAAACAGAGACGTTTCACCTCTCAAGCCAAGACTTGGTAGATGCAATTTGCAAAATTAAAACAAGCGAAAAATATTTCTTCGAAGAATTGGCTCTTCCTGACCAAGTTATATGGGTATTCAAACCAAAGTAAGATTTACTTAAGTTTCATTAATACCAATATCTGGATCTTTTTTAATTATCATAAATTTATCATATTGGAGACAAAATATCAAGGATTTTCTGGCTACTCACTGGTTTACAATAATTTGGCACCCTATTCCTTTGATTTTCCCATGTCTAAATTCCGCTTCAGCATCAAGCTACTTCAACTAACAGCAAGCAAAGATCTGATTCTCAAAATAAAGGAAGAGCTCAATTATTACTTTACTTCTCTTAAGGTTGAAGAACTCACATTCATGAACTCTCATGTGACTGAAAAGGATTTTGATGAGTATTTCCAGGAGCACCAGTTCAAAGGAATTCATGTTCAAACAAAAGTAAACTCCTCCTAACTTTTAGGATGGCAAGAGACTTAAGCTATTAAATTTTAATGAAAACAAGATGAATAGGGCTATTAACAAAATCAGAAACCACTTTGACCAGTACATTATCTCAAGTAGGTTCATATGATTGATCAAATATAGAGAAAGAATTCAATCTCATAGGGATGACACTTCTTGAGAAAGACCTTGTTTTTGAACAGTTGAGAGCCAAATGTTACAAAGAAAACTTCTGTGAAGAGTCTAAATTGAGTTTCATTCATTTCGAATGCTTTGAGGATCATGTATGGCTGGCATTATAATGATTTAGAGCACTGACAATCCAAACTTTAGACACAGCATCAGAGTCTATTATAAAACAAGTAATTTGGTTAACTTATTTAAACTGCTCATCGATGCTCCAATTATAATTTTCTTCTAAAATAATCTAATTTGTATGTCAAAGTTGACGATTATTTAAAGTGAACAAGCATGTTGCTAACATTTAAAATAGGTAATAAATACTCAGAGAAGCTCCAAAAGTTTATCCAAGATCTTAACAACTGTATTAAAAGCACCTTGGTTAAAGAAGAGGTTGATGATGAAAGAACTCTGGAACATCTCAAAGACAATGATCTGTACGATTATTCAGACTGGTCGCGCACTGAATATAGTAAAGAAGAGTAAGCATTAATTAAAACTTGCCACTAATCTTTCTTAGTGAACCTGAACAGGAAGCACCTAGTTACTACGGAACTTGGAATTGCATATTATATTCAATTGAGGAAGAAGGACGGTTTAAAGTGTTTGTTCAAGGTGACCAAGAAAGTAAAGACACATTCTTAGAACATCTCAAGTAAGTCCTTACTTCATCGAGTAGATATGAAGCAAGAAATCTTGAAGGAGGGGAGATCAAAAAGAGAATTGAAGAAAAACTTATTGGATTCTTCCATGATCTTCCAGAAGAAAACCAGACAAATATTATTAATGAAATCCAAGACAACTGTGATGTTACATTTGTCTTTGATGGAGAGCAATATTATATTCAAGGCCAAAATATCGTGGGTGCCATGACTCAATTCAGAGAGAAGGTATGGTTAAAACTCAATCATAGGTTATTCCAAGATATGAAAACTCTGAGATCGAATATCCAAAGGAGTTCCCTTGGGATAAGATAGAAGAATTAGAAGAGAATAAAAACGTAATCCCAATAGATTTAGACCCTGCCTCTAATGAGTTTGCGCACATAGAGAATATATTCAAAGATTCCCTCCTCAACTATGACGGATGGCTCAGAGAAAATTGCGAAATCATTAAAATAACGAGAATCCAAAGCTATAACTTGTATAAGAGATATTACTTCGCAAAGAAGAGAATTGAAGAGAAATACCAACAATTTACTGAAGAACAGATGAGTTGTCTGAATTATAAAAGTGAACTTTTACTATTTCATGGCACAAACCAAACTCCTCCCCACATAATCTATAATTCCCAAGAGGGCATTGATAGAAGGTTCACCTCCGCTGCAGCTTATGGATATGGTTCTTATTTTGCTGTAATTTCAGGCTATTCCTGTCTGGATAGGTTTGTCTACGAAGACAATGGAGAATACAGAATCCTTGTATGCAGAGTCTTTGTTGGAAATTATACTACTAAGAATAAACTTGATGGTAAAACACAAAGTATCCTGGGAGTTAATCCACTAACAAATCTCAGATACGACAGCGTTACTGATCAACTTAAAGATGAGAAGAGCAGACAGATGTTTGTAGTTTTTAAGAACGAGCAATCATACCCACAATGGGAGATTGTTTTTAAAAAAAAGAGTTAAATTTTGATAATTTCATTCAAGTCAAATATCTATCAAATCAATAGAGTAGAATTTCAACATCTTAGTATATTTCAGAACGTTATTAATTGGATGAATAGTTTTATTCAAAAATGCCACCTTTGCCTTGTTATAATTAAACATTTTACTCCTTATCCAATTCAGAACCTGCCTCTTCAATTTATATCGAAAAATTATTTCTGGAATATATATAACAAAACAAATAAATATAATCCCTAGAAAATTATTATATTATAATTCCTGACTTTTAATTCAACAAATAAAATCAGGGCTTTCAACATTTCAATAAAACCCCACATCCAAGGGGTTTTGGGGTTTTGGGGTTTTGGGG